TCATCATCATCATCATCATCATCATCATCATCATCATCATCATCATCATCATCATCATCATCATCATCATCATCATCATCATCATCATCATCATCATCATCATCATCATCATCATCATCATCATCATCATCATCATCATCATCATCATCATCTCATGACAGGGAGGTTGAAAACAAGGAACTCACCAGGTGGCACGATGTGATTGGTGGGAGAGCCGCACTGCGAGCAGAACAGAACGCGGTGGCTGCTGCCAGCCCACGTGCCCTCCTTCCCCTTTCCCTCCTCCTTCCCCTCCTCCTTCGCCTTCCCCTTCTTCTTCTCCATCGCCCCTAATGCAGGGCCTTGCCCCGCAACATCCTCCGCTCTCCCCTCTTCCTCAATCCCCTCTTCCCCCCCTTGCTCCGCCCCAGCTCCACCACCCACAGCACGCACTGCCCTCCTGCCCGGCCTTGGTGTGCGGCACCGCTGCTCACTGCTGTGCGCCCCTGCCAGCCACACGCGCACCACAGGCCGCGCAGCACCCACACACGCCACGCCACGCACCACTGCTGCACCTGCTGCTGCATGCATGCCTTCGCCTGCCCCCGCTGCTGCCACTCGCACTACCCCCACTGTTGCTGCCCCCCCTGCCGCTTCTCCAAACGTCATTAATGCTCGCCGCCCCTCCCCATCGCCCACTCACCAAATCCCCTCCGCCCTGCCCTGCTCCCTCCCGAAATCCGCCTGCCCTCCTCCGCCCCTGCTGCCACGCGCTCACACTCAGCTTCATGGCGGCGGGCGGGGCGGCAGTGGGGACGACGAGGCTGGGGGCGGTGGGCACGGCAGGCGAGAGGGGAGTGAGGAAGGGCGCAGGGGTTGAGGGGGGAGGGAGGTTGCAGAGGGTGAGGGAGGGAGGGGGTTGAGGGTGGAGGGGGTGGGAGGGGGAGAGTGGGGGGGGGGGCGCAGGGGGTGAAGGGGCGCGTGGAAACGCGTTGTATGAATGCCCGCATGGCCACGAGTGTCAGCATGGTGTAGTGCGGTGTGAGGGAATGGGATGCAGTGCGGTGCAGTGCGGCAACTGTCACCTCTGTGTGAGCAGTTGACGGTGCGTGGTGAGGCAGAGACAGTGCAGCCGCGCTGAACCCGCCATTCCGCTGCGTCTCCCCCTCTTGCTCTCCCTGCCTCCACTGTTGCTCGCACCGCACCTTACGCTGCCAGTGGCTTGAGATGGAACGGAGAGATGGCGAGGGAGAGGGAGAGGGAGAGGGAGAGGGAAAGGGAGAGGGAAAGGGAGGGGCAGAGGGAGAAGGATTAGGTGGGGAGAAATGCTTTCGGGATACGAGGGGCGTGTCGAACTTCGGAGCGAAGGCGCGCTAAGGGTTGCGGCGGGGGCGCATGGAAAAAGCTACACCGACGGGGGTGGGGTGGATGAGCGCGACTCGCGCGGCGAGGCGAACGATGGTCGTGTCGAATTCCCCGCGCGCCTCTATGTCGGACGCGTGGCGCGCGGGTGACGTGTGGAGGCGCGCGGGAGACGCGCGACAGCACAGGGATTTGCGGAGCGGGGGAGGGGAGGGAGTGGCGACAATACGTTTCGACGCGCAGGAAGGCGGACGACGTGTCGCGGTGACGTCAGCGCGTAAAGAGGGCGCGGGGCGGCGGAGGTTGGAGTGCCCGTTTCGGGATGGTATCGCGCCACGAGTTTCGATGCACCATGCGTCAAAGAGTCTCGGCCGAGAAGCACACTTGGAGACACAACAGCATTGGCATACGCATACTATCCGACTCAGAACAGCTGCGGGGTTTCTCACATTTGTAGATGTGTTGCTGGAAACAAAGAAATATAACTATTGATATTAAAAAAAATATCAGACCACACATATTTGTATGTGGATGGGCTGGAAATTTTTGAGACAGAGTGTCATGCAGGCATGTATTCTTTTTTTGGGTTGCGCAGCATCCTGTTACAATCTGAGATGTGACTTACCGAAAGGATCGTTAAAGCTCAAGGCCCAAATTGCGGGCCGCGCTGGGCAAGATTACTAATCTTGCTCAGCTGTGGTTTTGGTGCTGTGTTTTGACGAACTTTAGGTTACGGCAGGTGCGAATGAATCTGATTGGTCGAGGCCAATCTCACTGCAGAAACTTCAACTTTCAGTATTTCTCAATTTGGGACTCTCGGAACCAAACAGACTGATTGCCTTGGGGTTTGCTGACTCAGCGAGTGTCGCGAGAGCTTGTGCGAAATAAGTCAACCCCACCCTCCCAACACTTTCTTGACCAGCCCAAACCCTTGCGCAAGATTATTAACCTTGTGCAATTTGGGCCTTGAGCTTTCAGGGTTGATCGCAGGTAGTGTCGCAACGGAAGTAGTGAACTCAGGTGCGGCGAAATTCAACCATGCGGCGCGGGAACCAGTTTCAAACCTGTTCCCGCTCTTTTCATTTCAAATGTTTCTGCCTGCATCGGTCTTGATCAGACGGTTGCTGTGTCGCTTCGACTCTTCTGACTCCTCGTCTTCGTACTCGGTAGAGTCGGCACCTGCAGCATACAGGGATGCCTTCTCGTAAAACTTTCATATCGTAACATATATAAACCCTATGTATGCATGCTATTATCAATCTCAGTCATTTACATTCACTCTGACCTGAGTTCACTACTTCCGCTGCGACACTACCTGCGATCAACCCTGAACGATCCTTTCGCTAAGTCACACTTCAGATTGTAACATGGTATGAGAGCTGCTCAGGGATTCTTCGCAACGTCACTTCCGTAAACTTCGCCAAACCTAGATCTGACGAGCGGCTCCAAGACCAAGATGGCCGGAGGATCCGGAGGCCAAACGAATCTAACGGCCGAAGAACAAACTAACCCGGCTGCGACAAATGAGGCGACAACTACGATCGGCACTGCCGCGCTCGAGCAGTTATTCGCTCGACTGTCAATAATGGAGAAAGAACTTCAAGATCTTATTAACAGGACTAGGCAAGAATGATGCATTGAATGAAACAGTTGGGTACAAGTAGCAAACCCTAGTTGGGGTTGTACCCCATATTGGCTACCCCACTACAGCCTACCAACATATAACACATTACAATTTAACACACCCCCATAGGCAAAGTGGGGGAGAACAAAGGGTCACAAGACCAGTCCAGCAAAGCAACGCAAGCCCAGGGTGGATCACAACGTCACCACACTCCGAGCACAAGCAAAGGCCACAAGGCCAGTTCACATGCAGTGCTAGATATAGTACAAGACAAGCAACACAGTGATCAAAACCTAGCAAGCAAGCAACAAGATATATATAAAGTACAGTACAAAGAAAGTCAAGCAGTAAGCAAATGAGGGAATGTGGACACAAGGCCTAAAGAAGTACAGTGTCGCTGATGATCACTAGGCGGGAGCGCCTTGGTGAAGATATCAGTAGTGTTGGCCTTCGAGTCCACGTACACAAGCCGAAGCTGACCGCGCTGCTGAAGCTCTCGAGCAAGAAAGTAGCGAAGAGCAATGTGCTTCGTCCTGTGCTCCAGTCTGTGCTCCTGACACAAGGCAAGGGCCGCCTTGTTGTCACCGTACAGAACTGGAGGAGAACTAGGCCGCTCTCCCAAGTCAGTCAGCAGGTAGGTGAGCCAGCATAACTCCTGTGCAGCCATGGCCGTGGCGTAGATCTCAGCCTCACAACTAGAGCCGAGAACAGAAGAAGAGCGGGTGGACCGCCACGAGACAGAACCAGAGCCAAGGCTGAAGGTGTAACCCTGTGACGACCGCTGCGTAGCCAGGTCGTCCACCCAAGAAGCGTCCGAGTGACCAGTGAGGACAACTCTGTCGCGTCCTCCAAGCACCAGCCCCATGCCTGACGTACTGCACAAGTAACGCAGCACCCTCTTAGCAGCCTCCCAGTGCTCTCGCCTGTGTCTCCCAGGCGCAACGTAACGAGCAAGGATGCTAAGAGGGTACGCGAGGTCAGGTCGCGTGCAAGTCATCAGGTACATGAGGCAGCCTACAAGCTCTGGGTACGGGCCACTCGGCTCTACGGACTCGTCCGAAGGTGGAGCTGAGAGCGAGTGGCTGGTAGCCAGAGGTGTGGCCTGTGGTGAGGAGAACTGGAAGCCGAAGCGCTAAAGGACCTGCTGCACCATGTGTGACTGAGTCAGGGTAATGGTGCGGCGTGCTCTGTCCCGGGTGATCTGCAAGCCAAGGTAGCTACGCAGCTCACCCAGGTCAGTGCAGGTGTGTCTCTTCTGCAGCTCCGACTTCACACGAGCGAGTGCCTCAGTGTCAGCAGTAGCAAAGACCAAGTCGTCGACGTACACGAGGATGTAGAACGGCGGCAGCGACGTGTCTGTGCGCAGGAACAGTGACGGGTCAGCAGTGGAAGGAGCAAACCCAAGGGCCGCAAGTGTAGTCCTCAGTGTGTCGTGCCACTCGCGTGGCGCCTGGCGGAGACCGTAGACTGGCCGCCGGAGGCTCCACTGGGTACCAGGAGGAAACGACCCAGTAAAGCCAGGTGGGCGGCGCAGCCAGATCTCCTCGTGCAGGCTGCCCTGCAAGAACGCTGTGCTGAAGTCAAGAGAGTGAAGCTCGTAGTCACGCTGAGCAGCAACGTGCAGTAGAACCCGAAGAGTGGTCATCTTCGGGGTGGGGGAGAAGGTCTGGAAGAAGTCAACCCCCTGACGCTGACTGAAGCCTCTAGCAACGTAACGAGCCTTGAAGACAGGCGGAGAACCTGGCGGCCGCTTCACCCTGAAAATCCACATGCCATCGACGATGTTCGCCCCAGGAGGGGGAACCTCGTCGACGTAGGTGCCTGTGGACTTCCAGGATGCCATCTCTGCGTCCATGGGTGTCTGCCACTGAGAGGAGTAGGGACCCGAGATCGCCTCTGCGTAAGTGCGCGGAGTGGGGATGTCTAGTGCATCCGGGTCTCCCTTAGGGGCAAGCAACCAGGCCACGAGATGAGGTACAGCAGCCGCAAGAGAGTCAAAGTCCTCCTGCCTGTCCTCAAGGACGTCCGTGCCAAGAGCACACTCACCCCTGACGGACGGAGGACAGACAGACTCAGACCCAGCAACAAGACTGGCGGCGTAGTCGAGGCGACAGGCAGCAGCAAAGTCGACAAGCTCAGCGACCAGGGCAGACGCAGCAGAAGACTCAAACGACGGGTCAGTGACAACAGTGGCGAGAAGACGCGTGACAGTAGGGTGGGCAGCACGAACACTGTCAGACTCAGGGTCGGGAACGTCAGGAAGAGAAGACGCAGGTGGAGACGGTAGGGGGACACGCTGTGGACCAGTGGAAGGACGAAGGGCCATAATGTGCGTGCCAGGAACAGGAGGAGGACGCGGACGCGTGACACGACGGCCAGTGGGAGCAGTGCGAGCAGTGCGAGCAGCGCGAACAGGCGAGGCAGGACGAGACGTAGGCTCACGACGCTCCGTAAGCGAGTCCGGCTGTGCAGTGTAAGGCACAGGAGCAGGGAGGGGGGAGCCAGGCTGGAGGGGAAGGCCAGTGGAAGACGGGAGGGAAAGAACCTGGCGAAGCACCGTGTCAGGCGGCGGCAAAGCCGACGGCGACGGAGGGGCAAAGAACAGGCGCGACGGCGGAGCTCCGCCAGCACCTCCAGCACCCGCAGCACCAGAAGCACCAGGACCAGCACCCTCCGCCGCAGCACCCCCCGAGTCGACGACGTCAGCACCAGAGGCCCCAGCAGCGTCAGACCTCCCCTCGCCAGCACCTCCAGAACCAGCAGGACCACCGTGTCCAGAACCGTCAGCTCCAGTGTCGTCAGCTCCAGCAGCTCCAGTACCGCCAGGAAGAGCACCCCCAGAGCCGGCAGCTCCAACTCCGCTAGCACCGCCAGCTCCAGAGTCCCCAGCTCCAGCAGCTCCAGTCTCAGTGCTCCCAGAACAACCAGTCCCGGCAGCTCCAGTACCCCAAACTCCAGCAGAGCCACGAGAACGGCGAAAGCGCCGGACGTACCAGTCACGAAGCTGCTGCGGTGTGAGAGACTGCTCAGCACCCCGAACCGGAGCACCCCCAGACGCAGCAACCCCAGGCTCCGTAGGCTCAGGTGTATCACCCCCAGGCTCAGTACCCTCAGGCGCAGCACCCCCAGGCTCAGTACCCCCAGACTCCGTACACGCAGGCTCAGCACCCCCAGTCGCAGCACCCCCAGGCTCAGCACCCCCAGGCGCCAAACTCTCAGGCACAGTACCCCCAGCTCCAGCACCCGCAGTCCCAGCACCCGCAGCCCCAGCACCCCCAGGCTCAGTACCCGCAGGCTCAGCACCCCCAGGCTCAGCACTCCCAGCAGCACCATCTGCAACAGCACCTGAGTCACCTGTGACCTCGACAGGCTCAGCGACGGGAGGAGGATCTACCTGAGAGACACCTGAAGGAGCAGGACCCTGAGGGGGGAGGGGGTCTGCCGGAGGGGGACCAGGAGCAAGGAAAAGCGGCGGGGGAGGGAGGGGGGCAGTGCGGTAGGGGAAGAGACGGTAAAAAGGGACCGACTCGTCAAAGGTGACGTCCTGAGAGGCGAAGACCCGGCGCGAGGTGGGATGGTAAAACTGCCAGCCAGGCGCGTCAGGGACAAAGCCAAGGAAGACACAGGGAAGCGTGCGGGAGGAGAGCTTGTCCGCGGACGTATCGCGGACAAGGGCACGAGCACCCCACACCCGGAAGCGCGACGCATCGCCAACCTCCCCCGTCCAACGCAGTGTGGGCGAGGTCTCCGGCAAGGAGACACGGGGCCAGAGGTTGAGCTGATGCGCGGCGTACCGGACAGCAAACGGCCACAGAAAATGGGGAGCCGCCGCGTGGACCAAGGAGGTACGAGCGACCTCCATGACCAGGCCAATGCGGCGCTCAGCAACCCCATTCTGCTGTGGGGAGTCCGGAAGCGTGAAGGTCTGCTCGATGCCCTCCGCCTGACAGAAGGTCCTCAAGAGGTCGGAGGAGAACTCACCACCTCTGTCAGAGTGCAGACGCAGGACAGGAAGATCCGTCCGGAAACGGCGGCGGAGCTGGAGACGAACTGTGCGGATCCAAGGGATCAGAACAGCAGGGACCTCACCCTTGGTGCGCAAGGGGAAGACCGTGGTGTAACGCGAGTAGTCGTCGACAACCAGCAAAAAGTACCGCTCACCGCCCTGACCACGAACGCGGGCTGGGCCCCACACGTCCAGGTGGAGGGTCTGCAGAGGAGCCTCTGTCGGGGGGAACGAGGAGGAGTGAGGAGCGGCGCGCTGCCGCCCCTCGACGCAAGGAAGGCAAGGCGGCGCAGGCGAGGCAGGGAGGGGAGGGAGGGACCTGGGAAGACCAGACACAAGGTGGCGACGGTGCATGCCACGGAGGCGTGGCAAGGAGGGGTGACCCAGGCGGTGGTGCCAGAGAAGAGTCT